CCTCGGCCGCATGGCTCCCCAGACCACGAGTCCTGCGAGTCTACCCCACGCCTTCCTCACCTGGCCAAGCTGCTTCGCTGCGATAACACCGCCCAGCGCCGACTGGGAAGCAGCTGACTGAGAGGAGGAAAATAACTGTCGCTTCGGATAAACATCAGTGACGGTTCTTACTGGAGGTTTTAATGCACCGGCCTCTTGTCTCATCAGAGTGCTCTGCAGTCTCTCTGTATGACAGCATGCAAAGCCGGAGAAGCCCTTACTAAAGACTATTCAATGGTCACTCAAATACCGTGGATTTATCAGCCTTTCCAGGAATGTAGCAGGTCAGTGCTTGCAAAAGGCAGAAATATTTCAGTTCCAGAAAAACAAAAGATAAGGTGAAAAACTAGAAAGATATTATTGTTACAGCTTTAGGTGACTGAGAAGCGTCTCTTCGATTTTAGATAAGGTTTGTGACATTTGGCAGAGTAAACACTTCTAGCCTCAAAGCAAAGAGGATGTTTGCTGAGGTCTGGGGGTCCCTGGAGCCGAAACAATTGTTAAGTTGACCTTAGGTAACCTAGGTTAGGTTGAGCGCTAATGATTATCAGTGAGGACTACAGAAACACAATACGAGGTCACGTTAAGAGACAAAGAAAAGAGAACAACAGGGGAAGCAGGGAACAAGGAGAGGAGAGACAAACGCCCGGAGGAGGTGGGACTTGAGGCTTGCGCCAGGCGAGCGCCCCCACTTCATGATCATCCAAACCGAACCTGACAGACGCACCCTTTACAGAAACACACGGCGAGGCAAAAGAAGCCCGGAGGGTGCCCTTTTATTTCCAGCAACCTTGCTTCGCCAGTCGTCTGTTCCGCCGGCGCCCCCAGGGCTGCCCCCTCCTGCCGCACTCTGAAACGCCTCGTTTCTTGCGCTGCGAGTTTCAACTGCAGCGACTGTGAGGTGCGTGTTTACAGACAGAATAACAAGGAAGGAAAATTTATGACCATGCCCACAAAAAAAAAAACTCACACAGAATTAGCAATTTGTCATTTATCAAGGGCTACCCATATGCCTAGGAACTTATTTATTAAGGGTCTTACACTGAATTTGCGCCGTCTGTAACAGTCCTCCAACAGACACACACACACACAACTTGTTTTTGAGATGACGTCACCTATCCCTGACGTAGTTACGTGGTGACGTAGATATTTGCTTCAAAATAGCGCTGTCCTAACTAATGACGGGCTTGTTCAAATAAGTCATGTCTTTTTGTTTGTTTTTTCACCCCCAAGAACGAGCAATGCGACCCGAGGCCAAGTGGACTCGCTTGACTTGTTTCCCGCAGGCTGGAGCGCTGCTGGGGTTCATACCGGCCGCGGAGAAGCTCCGAGCCTCCAACAAACTTGGTCTGGACTGGTGACTGCAGCCCTACTGCTGCTGCTGCTTAAACCCCGTTTTTTTAAAAACAAACAAACAAACAGTTCAGTCTGTCGTCTCGAAACAGCGCCGTGCCGTCTCCTCTTCCCGAGGAAAGACAGACGTGTCCAGGCGCCGACAAACACAGACAGGTGTGTAAACACCCCTGTTGGATCAAGGCGCAGTTCTGGGCCGATTCCTGAAGACCCAAGGAAGAACCCCCCACACACACACACAGACTTTTGTTTTCCAACATATGTAGGAATCATAAGTGTAAGTATCCGCGAAGTCACAGAGAAGAAGGGGCGATGCGCCCAGCCGGCGCTGAACCCAGCCGAGACGGCCGGCGAAATGTCACGTCTCTTGGACGAGCCGGGGAAAGTGTGGCAGCCCGGCCTAGCAGCAGCAGAAGCGGGGGAGGGCAGAGGCTGCCGTGCGCCCCCACTCCCGTCGGCAGCGGCGGGTCTCGGACTGGTGCGGCCGGGGGCCCCGGCGCAGGGACGGGGCGGGGGGGGGACAGAAACGAGGCGCCCAGCCGGATTCCCCGCAGCTTACATCACCGGGGCAGGGTGCCCGAAACCAGCCTGCCCCGACAGACGAGTCTTTCCGTTTCAGCGTATTCTGGGGGATATGTGATCCCAGCTACACAAAACACCCACCCGTCAACGGGAGTCTCTCTCTCTCTCTCTCAGAGTAACAGTGTCACCCCGCCCGCCCGCCCCGACACCCACAGAAGAAGGCATGTCCAAAACAAACCCGTCTTACCTTGGAAGCGTTGTACAAATCCCACGCTTTTCAAATATTAACTTTCCGCCCGGCGCAGAGCCATACTCCTGGCCTCCCCGCCCCGGGAGCGCACAGCTGCTGTACTCGGAAGGGTAGCGAAGTTCAAAGCCTGCTCCCCCTCCCCACACACACACACACACCAGCGCCGCCGCCTGCTCTCCCCGATCCGCTTGCGAGTTTTTTTTTTCCCCACACTCCGGCCGGCCCGACTCCCCTCCTGCTCCACGACCCGAGCGCCCAGCGGCTCCAGCAGGCAGGCAGACCCGCACCAGGCATGCGCCCCAGTTAAAGGGGCAGGGACGCGGCTTAGAGAGGCGCCTCCTCCCGGCGCACAGCCCGACCTACACTCACCCCCCGGCCTCTGGGAGCCTTCCGGCGCGTCGCTCGCTATCGACACGGGGCAGGGGCTCGGCTCAGCCCGGGCGGAACACCAGTCGCCTCCGCCGGCCCACCCCGTGGGAAAAGAGCGGAGAGGAGGAGGAGGGGGGTGGGGTGTCTGTGTGCCACCAAACCTACTCTTCCAGTTTGACGCGGAAGCTGTGCGTTGTGAATGCACATGACGAGTCACTCTCTGCTTTGTCTGGACACACCTCTGCCGGTGGGTTTTTCGGACCCGTGACGAAGCGTCCCCAGGGCGCGTCACAGCCGGTGGGCCTGACCGGCCGACAGCCCTGTCCCGGCGCACCTGGGGTGTCACGCCCCACAGCCCCCCGGCGCACGGCCGGTGGGAGACACTGCTGTCGGGGCACGACCTCGGTGCATCCAGGGCTAAGTCGGAACATTCAATTATAGCACCGATTAATATATTCTTTTTTTAATGAAATCGTGCTGTCGCCAGGGTGTCTTCGGGCTTCTCCGGTCGCTATGCTTGTTGGCACTGCCCTGTCCGAGCCTTGCTCGGCGGCTCAAGTCTGTGCCACGTGTGTCTGTAAGGAATGGTGTCGCTCGCCTGGCAAGTGGAGGAGAACAGCCCGTTTTGGGGCTAACAGCAACATTATGGTAAAAAAACAAAAAAAGACTTATTCTTGTACAGCACGCTGAGAAGTCAAGCAGATCTCCTACCGGAGCGGTGGCTCTGTGGCTCAGGATCTGCGCCTGTGGCTGGAAGGTTGCCGGTTCACATCCCGCAGCCGGCAGAGGAATCCTACTCTGTTGGGCCCCTGAGCAAGGCCCTTTACTCCAGCTGCTCCAGGGGTGCTGTATAAATGGCTGACCCTGTGCTCTGACCCCCAGCTTCTCTGTGTGTCTCGTGGAGAGCAAGCTGGGGTATGCGAAAAGACAAATTCCCAATGCAAGAGATTGTATATGGCCAATAAAGTGATCTGATCTCATTTAACTTTCTCAGTACAGACTTCCACATGCCTGTCAGTGTTTTGGAAAGGTTTTTATATTTGTCACTCCATTTGTGGAAGAGCAGTGAGGACTGTGGACTCTAGTCACCAGAGTTTCGGGGGACTCCAGTCCTAAATGGGGGCACTGCTGTTGTACCCCCGAGCTAAGCCCTTCTCCTAAATCACGCCAAGAAATGTCTGGCTTTATAATTAGATCTCAGGACCAACAAGACAACATTTGTTCTCGACTGGTATTAAAGACCTGGGGTGGAGCGTGTAATTATTTTGTATTTTCTTTTTTCTTTGTCAGCAAGTGCCAGACCTAAGCTGGCTATTGTCATATATACTGTATTTGCTATCATCTTGTTTCCCAGGTTAGTGTTGAAAGATGTGTGACGTCAGGGGTGCTGTGCTGTGTTGCTAGGTGGCTTTGCAGACACAGACTCGTTAGTTAAAAACCACCTGACAGCCCATGTAACTTGACCAGGTTAAAGTTTTCAGGTGGGTCCAGCGCTGTTAAAAACTATGAAGTGTAACTTTAAGAGGTCAAGGTAAAGATAATTGATTCTATACAAATATGATAGTAACACTGCAGTACTGTGCTTGATACTAATCTAATATAGCTCTACCAACTCTGCAAAAGAGTCAATGTCATAGCGCCCTCTGTTGGTGATTCTTGCACACAGCCAGACATGACCAATCGACAGTACAAAACAATGGGGCACCTTACAATAGGCTACAATACAATACAACAGTTTAAGTTGTACAGTAGTGAGGCAGACCCTCCGTAATGCTCCCAGATCATCTGAATATACACCTCTGGGGCACCATTTTCCACCCCCATTAGGTTTATGGAGCTCAGTGGGTCGAGCAGATTGGCGCAAGGCCAACTTGAGATTTCAAGTTCTCACCTAAGGAGTCTTAAGAGCTGTGCCACTGGCATCTCTGGGAATATAAACAGCAGAGGGGGGCTCTGCGGAGCTCTCCGAGGCCTGTTCGACTGGAGTGTGTACGGCCGGCATGGTCGCAGGTGGTTCACCTGGAGTCATTAAGAGTCCGGGGTGGGAAGAAAACCAGGAGACGTGGCGATCCTCCAGGATCAGGAGTGAATATCACAGGGACTGTCTCTAGGCCATGGCGCTGCCTGCTCCAGGCTTGCATGACACAGCATCCGCAGCCTGGGGTGGCCTCTGCGCCGCGGCTGGGTTCATGATCAGCTCCACCCTGTACAACCCTGCACTCAGGACGGACCTCAGTGATTAGCAGGCCTGTCAGCTGCTCTGGCAACTAGAAGGAAGGCCACAGGAATAAAAACAGTTTCAAAAACACTGATGGTAGTGTTCCTTAAAGCCCTCAGGAAAGATACCTGGTTTCTGTGACTCCAGTTGTTTTTTCTCCATGAAAGGTTAAATGCAGTGACTGCTGAAAGGCTTGGTCATGCTGTCACCTGGACAACTGGACGATAATGTGGGAGCAGAACAAATAAGAGAAATTTCGGCTGCCATTTGAAATAACTATGGATAAACCACTCAAAGTCCTTCAACACTGGGACGACAGGACCTGAGGCATAACGCACAGTTGAATGACTTCTTTCAGAAAGGGGATTTCAATCCCAGAAAACAGTTGGGTGGATAAGTAATAATTATACGTTCCTCCCATTCCCACTGGATCCCAGAGATCTTCACAAAGATCGGCAGCACTGGGGTCAGCATCTGGGGTGCTGTCTGTGTGGAGTTTGTGTGTTCTTCCTGCGTGTGCGTGGGTTGTCCTCCGGGCGGTCCAGGTTACTCCCACGGTCCACAGGCACACTGATAGGCTAACGTCTGGGAAGGCCGGCCCCGGTGTGAGAGTGTGCCCTGCGATGGACAGGCGATCGCTCCAGGGTGGACTCAGGAGCAGGTGTGGTGTGTGCAGCTGGGCCTTCTGTCATTCAGGAGTGATCAAGATGTACAACATTTCAACGACAAATTGAAAGAAAAGCATGATTATTTTTTTTAATTCTAGCTGGCATAAACAAATTGCATCGGTCTGACAGTTTAAAAATCGTCCAGTGGTATTTATATTCCCCTGCACACGGGCGGACTGCGCAGCTGTATCAGTAGGTGGCGCTGCTGGACAAGACGATAGTTTGTATTTCCGTGCAAGCAGACTTCTAAGAAGTCTGATGTAAAAACACCGTCGTGTCGCGCTGGGTGAATTGTCTTCTGATTGATGGTTTACCCTGGCTGTCAGTTACATTGTAGTCCCCATTTTTTCCAATAACTGCGTAACCATAATTCCTGTAACCAGTCTCCAAAGTGTTTTCCGAGCTAACTGCCATTCACGAAGGGAATGTTGAGTAATCAAGGATAAAAGACCGTGAGAAAAATCCTAATGAGAGAATAATGAGACTAATTGTTTAATTGTCTTTTCAGCTTGGACCAAAAATCGGAAACACCAGCTCTTCTTTGAGAGCCCTTTCCGTGCTTCCTCGAGTGACTGCAGCACCTCGACTGTTAAGAATGTAGTGAAAAACACAGAGAAATCGGGGTCTTTCCACGCTGAAAAGTGGAGAGAAAAAACACAACGTGTAACACATCACATTGACTGTTAACGATCAATTAAAGCACTGACAACGTTGCTGTAGTAAAGTTTTCCCACAGAGTGGGCTGGGAGACTGCAGTCTGGGACCCCCCAGTAATACTGAAAAGTTGTCATGCAAGAATTAACTGTGAGCTAATTTAAGAAAGGGCTCGACACAGCTCTTGGACCACTGGGCTGTTCATAACTAAACAAGCAATATCTGCTAAAATACCTCCTCTGTGACTTGCCTGTAAGAGACTTACCGCTGTCATGTCTGTAGGACGAGGCGTCGGACAGTTGACTCTGCTGAATATTTTGAGACCATCAGCCTCCGCCAGATTGTCAATGTAAATCGTGCACGCAGTCCCCCTGCGTGTAATGACTCCTCCCGGCCACAGAGGGCAGCACCACGGCCGGCCTCGCTTCAGTCATCCGCGCGTGTCAGTGCTTCGCGACACTATTTACGGAACATGCGCAGTGGGCTCGTTCTTTTCCCAGTGCAGCGGAGTCTAAACCCCAGTCTTTAGACTCCCGTCTCCCGGCTAACGGAGGTCAAAAAGACTACAAAATGGTCAGTACATCAGCACAATACGCACCTATATCAATACATAAGACTGCTGCTGTATGTGTTGTGCCGTTTCCTGCGTGAAAATAATTTTGGATGGGATTGGATGATGTTAGATTGCGTCCCAGCGAGTTTCGCCGGGGCTGGCTCCAACGTGGCCTAATGGCTGCTGTTTGCGATTCTGGACTTGTAATGTCAGGAGGTCTTCCTGTGCCTTTACACACTGACGCCTGGTAAAAGTTTACTTGTAATTTTAGATCTGACGAGCAGCAGATATCTCTTGCGTGTTCTCGAAAGTCTAGTGACTTTGAATTAGAAGCCATCCCCATATTATGAAGTTGTTTCCGTCGTCAAAGTGAATTGATCCCAGGCCTTAAAGGGTTACCCTTTGCAGTAACTGCCGTGAATCCTGCTTGCGTAGTATCGTTGATCAGTTTAGTTTTCCGCCGAGATGCTGCGGTGTCGGAGTCCGGGCTCCCTGTTCCTGTCATGCCCAGCTTGCTGGTGCTGCTGCTTCCCCGAGCCCAGGGGCGCACTCACCCACGGCGTTTTTCTTCTGGTCTTTGCAGGGCTTCGTCAAAGTAGTTAAGAATAAGTCTTACTTCAAGAGGTACCAGGTGAAATTCCGCAGGAGGAGAGGTAAGGGGTGCCGCCGTCCCCGCCAGCATCGCCGGGTCGCCCCCCGGAGTTTCCGCTGACATGGCCGCTCCGCGGTGCGGCTGAGCTCAAGTGTCGCTCGCTTGGTCTTGGGCGGCGATTTCACTGCTGTGCTGTGCGTGGCCGCCCGTCGGGAGTGCTGTCTTGGCTGTTAACGCGTGTGGTTCCTTTCAGAGGGGAAGACGGACTACTATGCCCGCAAGCGCCTGGTGGTGCAGGACAAGAACAAGTACAACACGCCCAAGTACAGGATGATCGTCCGCTTCACCAACAGGGACATCATCTGCCAGGTGAGCTGCCCCCCCCTGCCCTGCCCTGCCCTGTCCCGGCCTGCTGCGTGTGTCTCTGCCTGGCTGACACTGGGGCCTGCTCTCTCCCCAGATCGCCTATGCCAAGATTGAGGGGGATATGATCGTCTGCGCTGCCTACTCCCACGAGCTGCCCAAGTACGGTGTCACCGTGGGCTTGACGAACTACGCTGCGGCCTACTGCACTGGGCTGCTGCTGGCCCGCAGGGTAAGGCTGTGGCCGGGTGGCACTGGGGGGCTGAGCTCGCAGGGGCTGGGCTGTCTGCAGTTGGACACTGTCCTCGGCGTGGACGTGGTGTTCAGGTCTGGGTGGCAGTTCTGCTGCGTAGGGATGTGTTCGTCCAGCACGACAGTGGTCGCAGTGTGATCCGTGTGGATGTTTCCTAGATCGTACCCTGCAGTCTTCAGTCCGTCTTTGTCACGCCACTTGGTAGAAGAGTGAAGCGTTGGGAGACTGCGAGGGGTTGTCATTTTGTACGTAGGAATGCACCCATTAGCTGTTTGCGGAGGTGGCTCTGTGGCTCAGGATCTGCGCCTGTGGCTGGAAGGTTGCCGGTTCAAATCCTGCAGCTGGCTGAAGAATCCTACTCTGTTGGGCCCCTGAGCAAGGCCCTTAACCCCAGCTGCTCCAGGGGCGCCGTATAAATGGCTGACCCTGCGCTCTGACTCCCAGTTTCTCTCCCTGTGTCTCATGGAGAGCAAGCTGGGGTATGTGAAAAGACAAAATTCCTATTGCAAGAAATTGTATATGGCCAATAAAGTGATCTTAAAAAGCTGCTTCCATAGTATTCTCGTTGGCCTTGGTGCGTGTCAAGTAAGTTCAGTGTGCTTATATAAGTACTGCCTAACTGTTTACTGCTGCATTGGTAGAGCAATGCCTAGTTTAAAAGCAAGAGGGCCTTCCAACTGGGGGTGTTTTGTAGTGGCAGTTTTAGGTGCATTTGTATGAAGAGCCTTATATAGGAGGGTGCACATCCTTCTCGGAAGCAACAGCAGGTCTTCATACAGCAGATCAGGGGGAGGAGCGAAACTGCTTCAGCAGGTAAGAGGGAACCTGAGGGGCGCCAGGTTCATCAGGCAGAAAGTGGTGTTTAGGCAGGATACTGGGTTTAACGGCCCTACCCTTATGCTCAGTGCTGTAGGTTACTCACTGCCCAGGTCGGTCTGCGCTTGTATCTCAAAAATCTCAAATGCTCTCCCTGCAGCTGCTGACCAAGTTTGGCCTGGACAAGGTGTACGAGGGTCAGGTTGAGGTGACTGGGGACGAGTACAATGTGGAGAGCATCGACGACCAGCCGGGGGCGTTCACCTGCTACCTGGACGCTGGCCTGGCCAGGACCACAACCGGCAACAAAGTGTTCGGTGCTCTGAAGGGCGCTGTGGACGGAGGGCTGTCCATCCCCCACAGGTAGCTGCCTTGGGCTGGGACCTTCTTGGTGTGCAGGGGAGATGTTCAGTGTCCTGCTTGGCCCCTGTTTTGGTCAATGTCTTTGTCACATGTGCAGCAGAGTTAGTTGGAAATCATGTTTGGGTGTTCAGTAGAGCTGCATGCAAACTGGGCTACATATTGTTGAAAAGTAGGTTCTGCTCTACAAGTTTCTCTTGAACTGATAGTGTAAAGACAGAAATCCTGAATTTGTCCATGCCGTGGCTGTCTTGACCTGCGCCTCTGACTTGTGGGTCTGTCGTGTGTCTCCAGCACCAAGCGTTTCCCTGGCTACGACTCGGAGAGCAAGGAGTTCAACGCAGAGGTCCACCGCAAGCACATCATGGGCCAGAACGTGGCGGAGTACATGCGCTTGCTGATGGAGGAGGACGAGGAAGCGTACAAGAAGCAGTTCTCTCGGTTCATCAAGAACGGCGTGACTGCAGACGCAGTAAGAGCAGCTGGAGCCCGTAGCCGCCTCTGCAGAGGGAAACCTCTCTGGCTTGGGGAGACGAGCAGGAAGAGAGATTTGTTGTGGTGTAGGATGGTTGGAATGCACACAGCTGCTTGATGATGACCTCTTGCACACTGAGCGAACTGTAGTTGGTCCTTGGTTTGCATTTGTGATGTGAGCTTTTCAAGACGGGGCTGAGAGCAGCTATGTCGCTGGATAAAGCTATGCTGGGACATAGTTTTTGTTGATTTTTGTTGGTCAGTTATCAATGCGCGCAACTTGCTGTTTGTAGGCAGTAATTAGCAGGTAGCATTTTCTTTTCTACACAGCATTACAGGGACTTGCAGAGTAGGCTGTGGACTCTGCTTGATCTGCTGAGCTTTGTTGCATTGAAACTGTTCCGTTTAGTCTGTACAGGATTGGTAGGAAAAGACCGCACCTAGCAAATGTCCATTTTTGTAGTGCCGCTAAAAAAGTGGGAGCTGTACCTAATTGAATTACCTAACATAGCGTTACCATGTTTGAGTTGTGTAGAGGTTATTATTTTCTGCTGTGCCATGTAAGAAGGGTCAGTATCTTGCACAGGAAAATAGAACAGCTGATGGTTTCTTTAGTGAGTTGGGTAGGTTTGATTGAAGCACAGCAGCACATGCGCAAATCAGCCGGCAGATGTTATTTTTTCTGCAACAGCTGTATGATTCTAGACGGCTGCTGACCGTACAGCACTTTGGGCTTCATTACTCTGTTGCTGTGTGTTTGGAAATGAGGGTGAAACCGGTCACAAAGTTGCGGTTGAGCCACGGCAAGTGCTCTAGGGTGTCTTGTGAATGTGAGAGCTCAGGTGGTCGGTCTTTGATTCCTGCAGATGGAGGAGATGTACAAAAAGGCTCACGCTACTATCCGAGAGAATCCTGTCCACGAAAAGAAGCCCACAAAAGAAGTCAAGAAGAAGAGGTAGGTCTCTTTTCTTACAGCAGTTCTTTCACCGAGGCGTGCCTGAGGCGTCCTGCAGCCCTGCCTGCTGTCTCGGCACACGAGTCGTGTTTGAAAGCCACTTTTAATAAAAACAATATAATATATGAAGGAAGCTTCCTATATTGGATGCTTTTATCTAAAGCGATTTGTTTTTGCACCCATTTATACAGCTGGCTGTTTTATTGGCTCGGCGTGGGTGAACAACAGTGGCCTGTTTGAGATACAAATCTACAACTTTCTAGACAGAAGAATAGTAACAGGGCTCCAAATGGCGGCCCAAAATCTGTCGCAAGCATCGTCAGTGCTTCATTCATGCACTTTCTTTTCCTTAGTCTTGCCTTGTTTACCTGAAAGGTGGATTTATAAATTGGTGCATCTGGGTTTCAACAGTTTTGCAAAGAAGGATCGTCTCTTCCTCAAAGGAACATCAGCCACTGCATCTGAATTAAATGCTTTCTGTTGTGTGGGTTGATCCTGGAAGCCCATATGTCACTGACAAAGCTGTCATTGAGAGACATTTCAAATTTGGTTATGCATGGTGCTTGCAAGTGTATACACGTTGGTCTAAATTCACCCGAACTTGATCCCATTGCTGGCAATCTTCAGCCATGAATGTGAGCTCTTGTGAAGGTGTAACCGTGCTGCGTGCTAATTTGCGTGTGCTGTGTTACAGGTGGAACCGTGCCAAGATGTCTCTGGCTCAGAGAAAGGACCGTGTCGCTCAGAAGAAGGCCAGCTTCCTCCGAGCACAGGAACAGGCTGCAGCCGACAGCTAAAGAGGTGGCCTCTGCTACTACCCACGGCACAATGCGTCTTTTGATTTAATAAACAATTTCAAAAAGACGCGTGGGTTTGTGGAGTGATTGCATTTGTGCTCATTAAATTTCTACAGCACAAGCACGGGTGCACGGTGCTTTTCTTAGAGTCGTCTTGTTTCTTCGTTTCCTCTGTACTTGGACTTCACGAGGACACATGACGAGGACTGTGTTCTTGCAGTGCGTTTAGCTCAAATGAGGTGTTGATGGCTGGAAAAGGAGGAAAAACTAAAGCCCACTAACTTGGGTTGTGGGCCAGTTCTTGCGAAAGGTCACTAACCAGAAGTCGCAGTTGGGCCCTTCGAGGTTGTTAGAAGCTAAGTGCCTGTGGATCTCTTGTGGCCATTTCATGAGAGAAGGTGCGCTAGCGGGTTAGGCCAACTCAGCTGGGGGGGTTTGTTCCACAATCCCACAACTGTTAGTGTAAAGAACTCTTTTACATATACTTCCACATCCCACTTTCTATTGTCCTCACGAGTTTACTCGGAAGAAATCCACTGGCTTGGCTCAAGACTCTTGTGTCCCCTTGGTTTCTTCTGTCCAAGACTAAAGAGACTCAGTTCCTTCAGCCTGTTGAGCGTGGGACCCCGTTAACCGGCGGAATGGGTCTGGTTTCTCTTTCCTGTCCTGACGCCAGAGAGACTGTTACCTCCAAATTCTGTACCCGATTCTAAAGGGAAGTGCACTGCACAAATTTTAATATTCCTTGACTTAAATTCTACGCTATGCTAGAAGTTGGCCTTGTTGTCCTCCTTGTTTAGAACATAAGAAAGAGCCAGGGGCTTGCTGATGCATCATGTATGTGAACGGTGCTCTTTGCCATTATAAAACCGTTTTTCTCTGCCTGCCTGGGAAACTGCACTTCTGTTAACACGGGCCTCAGGGTTGACCAGTCTTTTGACAACAAGCACTTTAAACAGGAAAAACAGTACAAAACAAAAGTGTGGATAAAGAACACCATTGAATACAGAAGTATGAAGGGAATAGCAGCTTCTGTTTTCATGAGTCCATTTTAAAAAGGGGGCTACAAATTATGAATCATCCAATAGTCAAGAGGAAGTTTTCACGCTTTTTTTTAAGACCGCCTACCTCCATTTGGGCAATATTGCAGCAGAAAAAAAAATGTGAAAGGCACTTCTGTATCCCACAATTTTGACTTTTTGAAGAAAAACTGAACATGCCATCCCCACAAGCAGTGCCTACGTAAGTTGCCCTGCAGTTTATTCAACAAGTTATTTTGAGTTCAATGGCTAGGTGGCACTGTTGTGCCACAGGTTCCTGATTCTGGATCAGGGAAATTCCTGCAAAGGTCTTAAAATGGCTTATATGTGGCCTCTGTGAAGCCATTCTTGGTGGTGGTCAGCGAGCACTGCGGTGCCTGACTCCAGGCACGAAGCAGCAGTGTTTATACAATGTCCGGAAGCATGCGTGTCTTTATTCCCAGGGTGCCTTTCTGCCCTCACAGGTGTGAGCTGTCAGTGACTTGGAAAAAAGTACTGTTGCGAATCTGTTGCCAGCTCACGTGGATTATTAATATCACAGAGCAGCGGTCTACTTGGGGGAGATTTCAAACTTAAATGTGACAAAATTCCTCCTCTGCTACTCATGGCTCCCTGTCTCCCAAGTCTGCTGCATGGTGGGGGTCTGCCTGGATGTTCTCCAGCCGATGGAGGGGAAGCACCACAACTATTGTGCAGAATCCCAGCGCCGTGTTTCACCAGTCATTTACCAAGGAGTGAGGTAAAACTGGGTGTGAGACGAGCCTCCTGCTCAGGCTGCTGTTACTTTCCCTGGGAAGTAGGCTGATCCTATCTCTTGTAAAAATAAATCTGACTTTCCAGAGTAGAGGGCAAACCAAACGATCAAGCAAACACTGAACACTATCCCTGTGTAAGATATACATACAGAAGTCTGGCCCTGTTAGAACTCACACAGACCTTTCACTGTTACAACAGTCAAATGCAAATAAACAGCACTGGAGTTGGAACATCACTGGAAGAGAGCTGCAGGAAAGTTAGTTTTAAAGGAGAACAATGTCTTTGCAGAGGGGACTGCTTCTTTTAAATCTTCAAAAAGTAGGTCACAATTTCATCTTGCTGAACTGGGTCTTTCATCACAGATTTTCTGCAAGGCTCACTGTACCTGCTTTTTTTTTTGTATTCCTTACAGAGATGGTAAGAACACACCAGTTTGTATTTTGTACTTTTCTTTAATGTGCAAATTCATCATGCTAACTTTTAATTTCATTTCCTCAGACAAGATTTATTTTCTGGATGTAGCAATTCATTCGGAAACAGCAGCAATGGCTTTCACAGAATGAAGTAAATAGTGGTTTTTCTTTGATGTAAAAAAACAAATCTTGAAACATTACAGATAACGACGTACTCGCAAGAAACATGAAGATTTAATGAGTGAGGCAACGGCAGCACCAAAATGCTGTAATTCATGAACTTCCTTCAGAAGTGGTAAACATCCTACTGCGGTATGTAGTGGATTTAAGAACATTTCAGCTCGCACGTGTTTCTTCTGTAGGCACCCCGCCTCCCTCTTTCTCCAGCCCCCTTGTTGCGGCAAGCTCTCATCTTTATGGCACAGATGATCAACAAAGTAACAATAACCAGTCAAAATTGTCTCAGAAGTACAGTACCAGATTCCCAATGTACACAGTACACAAACGAAACAAAGGCTCACTCGCGTTTTTCCCAGCTGGTCCGCCACCTTCTTCGGCGGCCGCTGAGCTCGGGTCTTGTTGTGTTCTGCTCGGGTGGGGGGGCGGGGGCGCGGCCTGGCCCGGCCCGGCCCGGCAGGGCTCTAGGAGTCTTTCGTGTGGGATATCTTCTTCCACAGCAGCGTTTTCAAGTTGTTCAGTATGAGGGAGTGCTCCATCTCCATCTGGTCCGCGGAGCCGCGCAGGGCGATGCAGGAGTACAGCTGCTTCTCCAGCTCCTCGCGGATCTCGGAGGGCGCCCCCCGCAGGAGGTAGTCCTTCAGGGACTGGCAGGCCTTGGCCAGGTTGGGGCGGGTCACCTCCGCGGTGCAGCGCTTCTTCGTCTGGTCGCAGGTGGTGCGGCAGTCGGCGCCGTAGACGCAGTCCTCGTCGGCCTCGCAGTGCCGGTCCCGGATGAGCTCCCGGAAGGCCGCCTCCGGCACCACCTTGCGCATGTCCACCACCTTCAGGTCGTGCTTGTCGTTGTAGCCGAAGCTGCCGGCACTCATGTCGCACACCAGGAAGTTCCCGAAGGTGCCGTGGAAGATGTCCTCCACGAACTCCAGCAGCCCGATGGAGATCTTGGCCTTCCGGGGCCAGGAGGGGGTGAACCACTGGTCCATGCTGCGGCGCAGGCCCGCGGGGATCCACAGCTCCACCAGCCAGGGGACGCTGATGCCGTACAAGGAGGTGTACTGCACCTTCTCCATCACGTACAGGTCCCCGCAGAAGCCCAGGAGCTTGGGGGTGTGCTCCTTGTCCTGCAGCGTCACCATCAGCAGGAACTCGTTCAGCTGCAGCAGTGCCCAGGTGGACTTGGCCTCTGCCAGGGAGATGTGCCCGTCCTTGTTCCCGTCGGCCACCGCCAGCACCAGGCTCGCCAGATCCAGCAGGTTCGCCTGGTCGCCCACCTTCGCCTGGGCAGCAGGGGGGGGGGGGAGAGAAAACAGCCTCAGCTCCCACCTCCACTCGTACATTGCAGCACGCAGCACAGAAATACTGCTGGAGCTTAGCGCAGCTTGATTGGTAAGCGTTGGGGACTTCAACGCACGCTGCCAGTGGTAATTAATCGTTTACTCTCAGAAGAAATCCCAAGAAGATTCTCCGCGCCTTATCTGGAAAACTAACCACATTCACCGACAGATGGGCGTGGAGGGTCTCTTTACACCCCCTTAGTAAAATGATCTAGTTATCTCGCTACAGCAGAGCTTTTCTTGAAGCACGCTTTTATATAGCATGCACCCAAGACCTTCAGCTAACGAAAAGGGGGTTCTGCCATTTTGGAAACACCCTGTGTAATTGCACATCGTGCCCAGTAAACAGGACCATTTCAACAGGGGTGGGACTGGCACCTTTAAAAGGCTGAAGACCATCTCTTTGAACTTCTCCACTGACGTCCCCCGGGTGGGCTTGTCGAACAGCACGGCCTCTTTCCTGGGCTCCATCTCTGACCCCAGGTCATAGCGAAGGACCTCCTCCAGCTGACATTTTACCACACCTTCTAAGTCTCCCCAGCTCCCGATGTACACCTAGGAAAGAGCAGAGTCCACCTGAGCCAGGTGTGAGCGCCCCCTCTGGCACACACCGGTGACGCGCAGCGCAACGCACTCTCCTCCCTCCTGTAGGTCCTGCTTACAGCTGGGGCAGAGGCTGCTGGCCTCCCCACGCTGTGAGAGCAGTGCTGTACGCCTCTGAAGTACAGGTCAAGTCAAGGGCACTCACTACCCAAGGACTGAGTCCTGCTAACGTAGCACCCATTCGAGAAAAGGGACTGCAGATATGCGAGTCTTAAGTATTGTGTTACATGTAAGGTTTTTGAAACTGTAACTGGAACATAATTAAACTCTCGTTTATTTAGAAATAGAAACCCAAGCAGATACTCAACATGGTTTTTAGAAAAGGCTGAACTAAATCTTAAAAGAGTTCTTTGAACAAGCAACAGTTGTAATGGACACACAGGTATGTTTAGATTAAAGTCTCTCAGAAAAGGTGAGACCCTGGGAATCAACTACCAAGGACCACACAGGCCACACGGGCCAAACGGTCTCCCCTGGTATATAACCTTTCTGATGTTCCAACAACATGCCAAGTTGTAGGACCGTCATTTTGCGGCTCTTATTTTATTTAGAACTTCAACAGCCTTTCATTCACAGTGCACTCTGTGTAGTCCTGGTTTCCTGAAAAGGGGAGGTTTGTGTCTGGCCTGGCGCCTTCTCTCGGGCAGAGAGAGGCAGGAATCCGGCTGGCAGACAGACTGCGCAAGGCCTGCAGCAGGAGGAAGGGAAATGACACGACGAGAGCAGAGGACTGTCCAGACTCCTGCAGATGATGACCTCCACTGTGGAGGAGCCGGCCCAGACCAGCTGTGCTCCTGCTGGTCTCGCGCCCCAGGCAGGGGGCTGGAGAGGGGAGAGAGAGAAGTGCAACACAAAACTACTGCCGGGCTTCACGCAGTTTGATCTGTAAGCACTGGAGACTTTGACACGCCCTGCCAGTGTGATTCATTGTTTATTTTCAGAAGAAATCCAAGAAAATCCTCCATGCCTTCTCTGGAAAATGAACCACATTCACAGACAGATGAGCGCAGGGGTTCTCTTTTCACCCCCTTGGCGGATTGAGGAACGTCACTGAGACGTCTTCTCCAGGATCCTATAAAAGCAAATACCCCCATAGCAGGGAGAAGATCAGGTCATATCCTGGATGGTCAGGTTCAGATGGCGTGGAGAATGCATACAAACATGTGTTTACACCTACAGAAACTGCAGATGTGTGCTGGGATGTGCAGTCAATCAGAAACTGGATCAGAACAATTCCAGATTCATTGTTTTTAACACATCCACCATGCGACAGCTACACAATCCTGTTTACAAGGTCAGTAGAATTACATCCAGACCTCAATGAGCGCTGGCAAAATCTGAGCTCTTCTGAAAGGTCTCCAAGTAAATTCAGCTCCCTTATTGAGTATGACATTTCCTGTAGGCCAGGAAAACGTCTGGTTTCTCTCTGTTCTTCTGCTGATAATCAGTTCTTCATCCATGAGCGTGTTTCCTTGGGTTCTTGTAGCTTATAGTGGAAGGATCAGTCCTTTGGTGTGTACCAGCCTACTGCAAGCCCACATATATCATAATGATAATGAACGTTACCCACAGCACTAGTTACTTGCTCAAAGAAATCCAGCAGCTTAATTAGGCACAATCTCTGTCTACTAAAATCAACCTGGCTCATTCTCCTAGGATGCTTTTAAATGTGGTTTACATTTTAAAACATTTTTAGATCAGTGTTTCAGTTTTCATTCCAACTGTACCTCTCTTGGATCATCACAGTCTTAGACTTTCCTCCCTTTCGGTCCTTAAGGAGTGGGACAAGCTGAGGAAGCAGAAGCAGCCAGACAGCCGTGTGAGGTGCTGGGTTCAGCTGCCCAGCTGCCCAGCTGCCCTCTGACTCAGGCTGAAGCCACGCTTACGGCACTGACCATGACAGTGTTTCAGTGTCACCCCCACCTGTGTCTGCACATCATCAGATCATAAGGAGAGCTGTCTGGGAAGCCGTTAAGGAGCAACAGTTTTAAACCGAGCTGAATCAGGATTCTGCTCAGCTCCTGGAAATGACTAACTGAAATGAGACGTCCGAAAGTGAAAGCATTACAGCTCACTTTGATTATCTGGTTTAATTAAGGGTCCCATGAGCTCAGCTGGACAGAACCCCAGGAGACGCAGGACTACTGCAGGACTAGGGCTGGGAAACAGACCTGTGACGTGTCGAAGGACAGTGGAAATGCGCTGGCGCTGGTGCTGTGTTGACTGCGGAGACCCTCACCTGGTTGTTGGGCTTGGCCGAGAGACACTTCCCCAGGTACAGCGTTTCCTTATCGCACAGGCTGCTGCAGGCTGAGCCGTCGATCACGCCCTTCCTGTATCTATCACACTGACACACACAAGACGGCCCGTTTTAACACCTTGCGGCTTCCACCCCAAAACACACTGCAGGGATCTAGACCCAGTGTCGCCACGTCCTGTGAAATCTGTCACGACCGATCCCATGCCTAAAACAACTGTCAGTTTACCCAAGATAAAACTATAGATTTTTTTGCGGCGATGGAAATTCATTTTGTCGATTTGCAGGTTTCATCCGCTGGAACTCAGATATGACAGACCTTGACATGCATAACAAGAAGTTATCGGGCCCTCAGCAAGCGGAGAAGAAGGGAAATTCGGACACAGGACAGTCACATTGCAACTCAGATTTCTTCACATTCTCCAGCAGAGGGCTCTGTGTCTTAACACATTCTCCAGGCAAGGCTGAAGGACATTTAATGCACTGCTTTCAAGCCCTGAAGATACTGGCACACACAACTCCATTAGCTTTTCAGTCTTATCTCTTTCTAACCCAAACAATGACAACTGTGCTGACAAAGTGCTTTATCAGACAATCTGATTTCTGTTCTTTCTCACTAAGTTGCGATATTGAATTGAATAACATACTCATACAGCTCGAGGCACACAGTAAAAAAGAATTAAGAAGGAAAAGCTCTAAAACATTTTGATCATAATCATCACGGCCATGCTCCTGGGCTGAAGCACCTGGAGACCTAGAAATTAAAGACTGACAATTTTCTTTTTCTTGAGCAGCTTTAAGTCTCTCGGGAGGATTTTTTTTTTGGATCTCTTTCAGTTTTATTTCAGGGCACATGAAACGCAAACACACACTGGAGGAAGTAAGAAACACCAGCCGCTGAATGGGCCAGTGCAACTCCTTCCTGCTTTGTCACCAATTAAATCGTTCAGCTCACTTCCAGGTAGAGCACGCACTGCTGAACACGGCAGCAATTTGGTCTGGGAAACTGAGCCGTTCTGAACAGAAACTGGTCTTTTTATATCGCCCTGGCTCCGCCACCGAGTGAGAAACAGAACAGCCGCAGAGAGAGGAGAGACGGGAATCTCCCAGCCATCCTGTCAGCTTGGAAATGACAAGTTACTCCCACAAAATCCAGATGACCATGACATAGAAACAGGACGTCGCCACTAAGAGAAACTCTGTTTTTTTTTTTCCAAACAACGTAAGAAAACTGAGAGTAGAGCAATAGCCTACTAGCTAAAAATTTCCTAAACACCCTCAAACACATGTGATCCACTGGTGGATGAGACGTTCCTGTGAACTGATGAAGATACGAAACCGATATCTAAGTGTGTAAAAGTTCAACAGACAGTCATCCACTCCAGGAACCGTTTGGTCAAGAAAAAAATGAAGTAATTGAAGAATTCACAAAAACTACTTCGACCTACACCCAGAAGTGGACAAGAATGTCTCTCTTTCCCTCCTGAGCACAAACAGATTCTCACCGTGAAGTAACTGCCAGAAGAGGCTGACAGGCTGAGCTGATGAATCACATGTTTTTATGAGCTCTGCTGTGTTCGTGCTCCATGCTCTCAGCATATAAAACAGACTGTATGAGCTGAGTTCCCTATTCAGTGAAGTCCTGCCAGTCTAGTACAAGACCTAAAGACTCACAGTGACCCTGCTGGCAGGTTTAGAGTTGATGCTGGCACGAAACACACCAGTGAAACTTCACACGCTTCAGAAGTGCACCAGCCCTTTTCAGTACAGGAACGCATTTCTCTCAAAACACTTGAGAAAATGGTGACAATTGTGTGTGTGACCAATGAGTCTCAAACTGTACTATATCAAAGTCATGAAAGGGCTTTCCAAAGCCTGTCTCACCAACGGACTGGTGCATTCTGACGGTGATTTCATTACGCTGACAGTGGGTACAGACATATTCATGCAACAAATCAGCTAAAAAAACTAGACAGACTTTTGTACCCCTGACATCATTTGTAAAAGAAGACAAGTAAAAGTAAAACCCAGAATGCTTCTCGGCCTTGAAAGAAACACGAACTCTCCTGCTTTAAAATCTCTTGAGATATTAGTCTAAATTAAACTAGAGGGTTAAAGAGTATAATAATAGACTATCGCCTGCAATTCTTCACAGGCAGCAGATGGCTGAAATGGGAGTTCAGACCGCAATGCATGGTCATCTGTAGATCTCGCTGATGGGTTAATGGGACATGCTCCTTCTGACGTCTGTATCGACGTGCCGGAAGTAATCGGCTAATAGTGTCCTAATCTCCTGAACAGTGCAGCATGTGCAATCTACAGGTACAGTGCACCCTGTGATCTGCGCATTCGAGCTGGAAACTACCTGTCCTTGGTCTGCAGGCCTTCCCTTGCCCCCCAACACCCCCCAGCCCCCCCCAGCCCCGCAGGGACAGACAGGCTACGTACAATGGTGCGCTTGCAGTCGTGGCCTCTGCACAGCTCCGTGTAGGCCGAGTACTGGACGTACACCACCCAGCTGCCGACGAACACCGCCAGCCAGGAGAAGAAGAGGTACTTCACGCGCAGGTAGGAGAAGCGAGCCTGTGGATCACAGGACAGAGAGAGAGAGAGAGAGATTGCCATCACCGAGATCCAGCTTCCTCCAGCCCTGCACAGGGAAAACACCTTTACCGTCACGTACCATGGTAGAAACAGGGTCAAGAGTAGTGAAGCACAGTGAGGTGTTACCACTCATGATACAGACCACAGGGGGATGTATGGTTAACCCGCAGGACCCACTGCGCCGATCTCCTGCAGCTCACAGCTGGCAGCCCAATGCAGCTCAGCAGGCGTGAGCCTGGTCAGGACCTGGATGGGAGACCTCCTGGGAAAAACTAAGGTTGCTGCTGGAAGAGGTATTAGAGGGGCCAGTAGGGGGCGCTCACCCTGTAGTCTGTGTGCGTCTAATTGCCCCAGTATAGTGATGGGGACACTATACTGTGAAAAGGCACCATTCTTTGGTTGAGATGTAACACTGAGGTCCCAACTCTCTGTGGTCATTAAAAATCCCAGGTTGTTTCTTGAAAAGAGCAGGGGTGTTACCCTGGTGTCCTGGCCAAATTTTCCATTGGCCCTTACCCATCATGGCCTCCTAATAACCCCCCTCTCTGAACTGGCATCATCACTCTGTTCTCCTCCCCACTGAGAGCTGGTGTGTGGGGAGAGTACTGGAGCATCATCCAAGTGGGGCTGCACACTGGTGGTTGTGGAGGGGACCCCCATGACCTGTAAACCGTTTTGAGTGGAGTGTCCAGAAAAGCGCTATATAAATGTAAGGAATTATTATTATCAATTTACCCCTGCTCAGGAAACTGTCATATGGGGTCATTCTGTGAGCTGAGAGCCTCTGTACTCGGAGCCCGAGACTCCTGTCACGATCAGCCAGGCGCACAGGTGCGCTGCCGAGATTACTGTTCCAATACACACAAATCCTACTGATGGCTTCTCCTCAAAGGCAATGTTGCAGGATTAAAGGAAAGCTATTCCCCAGAGATCTCCTACCTGGGCTGCAGGGGGGTTGAGCCTGAATATGCTGTATTCATCAAAGGCACCTAAGGCATTCCTCAGAGCAATGTCAAAGCTCCAGCAGGTGTAAGTAACAGATCCACCTGCGGTGACACTGGGGTCATTCTCCTAGCGGCTCTGATGCTCTTCTCAGTAGAGACATCAGTCATTTCCCTGCTGCAAGCCCAGAGGCAAGAAATGAGCTCATTCTGAAGATCCTAAAACCTTCAAGACAATATGTTATACAAATACAGCAACGGATTGACATCTTCAGCTGGAGAAATAAATAAAAGTATGTGGCACCTTAGAAACCCCAGAACCTGCCACTTCAGAATTAGAAACTGCAGCTGATTGAACCTGGCCACAAGTAACTGCCACTAATAGATTATTAACAGTAACCATAACCTAATATTTAACCATTTTATTAATACACACATTGCTGGCTTGTTCTGTATTTCTACACTGTCATTTCGCTAAACTTAAGCAGTTACCAGAACACTTTGGTATCATTTTTCCAAAGGGAACAGCTCAGCCTGTGCTGCCTGTCTCTTCCACAGACACACAGTGCGGGGCTCTGAGGATAGTGGGGTTCAGTTCCTGCCACATCTGCAGGATTCTGTGAATGGTGCATCTGAAAGAACAGGAGCAGGCTGTTTGCTAATGCCGACTTTGTTTGGCAAGCTCTTAATGTGGACTTGGCACGTTCCTTCGGCCACCTGCCAAAGCAGAACAATCCGATCCGCTGTCTGGAATCAGAAACATGCAGGATATCGGTGCGCATTACTTGTGTGCAAATGAGGAGTGGTCACTGGCTACTCAGTGGATTTCTGAGACAATAATGATCTAAATATCTAGTGTCCTAGTGGCACTGCTCACTGTCACAGGTCTTAAAACCCCCACTCTGTTAAAAAAAATGACTGCTCATCGCCGATACCTCCCCTCTGAGACAGGCTCGAACTGGTTGTACAGTCACTGAACAGCTGGCTGAGCTCGTCATAAAGAAGCATCAAGAAGAAGTGCGACAGGCATTTCTGCAGGAGCCCATGCCATGTACACTGCTGGAAAAGGGTGGTAAAACTGCATGTGCCTGGGATTTACTCCAGCCCACTAGAGACCTGCTCAGAACTGCAGCTCCGGACATGTGGAGTCTACGCTCGGGGGACGAGCCGGAGGCACGCAGAGAACTCAGGATCCCCCTAAAACTAAAACCGAACTGCTAAAGTGGCCCTCTGTCCCCTCCATCTAGCCGAACGCAGAAGCCGGGCGTGTGGCACAGGCACACACAAGGTGTCACAGCCCCGAACACGAGAACAGAAGGAAGGTTACAGACGAGAGGGGCCACCCCGCCCATCCAGCCTCGAGAGAGGAACCAGCTGTGGTGCTCGGACAGACCACAGGTCAAGGGGGTGAGGACAGAAAGCAAAAACACAGGAAAACCAACGCGAGAGGGAAACAAAACTCCAGCACTGCGGCGGTGGCAACATTTTTAGTGACATTAAATAATTCCAGATTTGTTCCAAACAAGAGTCACAAGGCAAGGCCTCCTGGTAACAGGCCAGTGCTTTCTGAGAAGCGGCCCAGAGAACCCAAGAGCAATAGAGAACAAGAAGAACTGGCTCTTTGGCTCATGAGAGATCACTTGCTGTCTGTAATTTTAATAATCCTCACATACAGACCGGTTCTTCAAAGACCCCAGTCTATCAGTCTGTATGACAGAGCCTGGCAAGCTATTACAAGCTGATTATTCTTGCAGTGGCAACTCCCAAGAGCTCTGTGTAAATCTGCTCTTAAAAAGACACCACTTCTGGAATGATAATAGAATTAGGCCTCCAATACTTTCGATGAGTTCAGAGTTTCAAAAAAGATTTTCTTTCTAACAGCAGAAAAAAAGAGTGTGCTCGATGAAGAAGAGAATAGAGCAGGTGAATGTTCAGAACTACGTGAGACATTGTGATTGAATTAAATAAATTCAATCAAATAAGCAGGCATCTCTTGTGTTCTGATTAACTTCTTTTGGGATATAAGCTTTGGTTTAAAGTGACTACAGGGGAGGTCAGTTGTTCCAATAACGCTAAGTATCACAGCGGTGGTAAATATTTCTTGGACTGCAAGAAAGATAAAAGTGCTGTCACGCGAGGACGTGGAGACAGGAAGACAGTGATGCTTGAGGAGGCGAGAGGTACAGAGCGAGGAAGTGAGGTTGTGTCACTTTTAACAGAACTCTGGACCTCACCTGTGTGAGAAACACAGACGCCTCTTCCTCTGAAAACCAACATCTCAGTCTGAGCCACATGTATGTGTTGTTTTTTTTTTAATTTCACCCCTGATCACGAGTAGCTATTCGGATAAGCAATGCCATTGTCTGATTTTTAGGTCTTAATCGTTGCACAATCTGGTGACAGCCCTGGAGGCCTACATATTTTGGGTGAAGAAATGACATCAGGAATGATTGCAAATGACTGACAGCTGAGGGTGACTGAACCCGGCTGCTGTCATCCCTCCTGAGCTCCATTTAAACAGAAACCCAGAGATATCGGAGGACGATCTGGCTATAGGAGAAGGCGGTTTAGCCCCCCTCCCTTTTACAACCACTGCAGGAGCATCCACATGGGATTACAGTGGGGAGATCAAGGGAGATCTGCTGTAATGACATTAAATGAAAATGGGTAAACACACACAAACCAGATTAGGCGCGATGATAACATTAAATATGACTTAGGGAAAATCCAAGCTAAGCTATAGTTGGATTTCATACGAAAAACAAAATGACAAACCCCTCTGCACATTGCGTGTCTGAAGCTAAATTCTGAAACTAATTCTAAATGGCACAGGAAACCACTTGCGAAACAGACCTATTTAAACGGAACATCAACTGTCTAAAAAACAACTCTTTTTGCTGTACTAATTTGCTCTTAATTATATGAATCACCTTAATGCTTCATTTCCCTAAGACAATTTTTAAGACTCCAAGGGGGGAGAAAAAAAGAATCAGTTTGGGTAGCAAAACTTTGTGAACTCCTTAATGCAAATTACTGATGAGAAGGCAGAACAACCGTGCAAAGACGAGAATTTTCACGTGGAATAGCTTTGGGTTGACCCCAGGGCACAGGGGAACCCCAACACCTAGTGATAGTCTAGAGGTACACTTAGTATCTCTGACTGAGCTCGTGTGTGGGGCCCTGGGGTACTATATTCAGCTCCTGAAGAGTTCAATGTCTTCTGCTTTCAGAGCCACGCAGCTGGTCTGATCGATCCAGTTCCTATAGAACTGTAACTCTGGGCGTCACCATCGTACGTCACCTTGTTACAGGTTTCCTCCTGCTAAGGTCCGTGAGATATCAGGGACTAGATGTATTAAACGCCCTGCATTTTCAACTCGGTGACTCTCGTTTGGAAAAGGCCTTGAGTTTCGTGTTCTGCGTGGCAGGTGGTGAACTGGAGCGCCGAGGACGTTCGCGGGATTTCAGCTCTGCCTCCGGGCAATGGTGAGCCCCCAGCTTAGTGCCGGAGACAGAGCCGGAGCCGAACGGCAGGAGAGGAGCAGCAGCAGCGTTAAAAACCCAGCACAGCTCGCCCGTTCCTGAGGGACAGGCCGCAGCCCGGACGGCGAGCGGGCGCTCAGCCTGCCCCCTGAAGAGCTTAGAATGAAAGTTTCGTTAAAATGTTTGGAAAGTCCAGATCGAAATAAGTGAAACGTGAGAGTAAAAATGGTTCAAAAACATCAGTATAGGGTAATTTACCGTACGAATATGGTCATGCAGTTCTGTAGATATAAGTGAAGCACACTCTTAGGCCCCAGAGCTGCTCTATTCTGGGGTACGGGCTTTGACTCACAGGAGCAAAGTCTCTGCTCCTCCAGTCCCCACCTCCACCAGCCTTGAACCAGACTAGGGAATTGTCTGGGTAGCTGCTCCTTTACTGCCATGAAAGTTTTGTGTAAGAGACTGTAAAAGACCTGACCTGCCCCAGCGAAGAGCAGAATTTGTGCGTCGACTTGACACCCCAGGGTGGAAACAGAACCCTGGCAGCACCAGGAA